GGAAACGCCGGAAGGGCGGGGGTTTCCGAGCGAGAGAACCGAGAGAAGCCCTGAATGTGTTTGATGGGTCTAGGTGTGTCTATCCGAGTGACTGGTGGTTTTTGTTTGGGTCAAGACCATCCAAAAGGGGCTGGGGTCATGTATTTTGAGACATTTCTACCTCGAAGGAGGGTCCTGCTCATTGAATCATATTGATTCGCTCATCGTTTTATGGGGTCTAAAAAGGACCCCCCCCCTTTGGCTTTTGGCGCCTGACAAAAGGAGTTCCAGCCCGTCCTTCCGTTGTCTCGGCCGCCTTTGTTTTGCCGCCGTTTTTTTGGCTCGCAGAAACAGGTGAGCCACAGAGCCTTGCCCCAAGAGTCAAGCGAGCTTTTCTTAAATCTTCCTTCTAGCGCTGCTCCATGTCCACTTCTTTACATAAGTTGCTACCAGCTTACGCGTGTCAGGACCCAAACCACACTTCCACTCTCAAGCTAAGCTGAGGATACGGTGACCATCCAGGTCAGCCTGCCCGTGGGCTACATCGATGCAGTCAGCCGGGGGGCCCAAGGAGACAAGAAGCTTCTGCCGGGCGGCAGCTGCCCTTGTAAGGCTGCCCTTGGTGATATGGATGCCTCGTTTTTTCTCTGGGGGAAAGCCTTCTTGTTGCTTGGCTTTGATTTGTTTAAGGGAAACCAAAAGGAAAGCAGCCACTGGTGTGGGGGTCCCCTAAAAAATGACACCCATGTGTTGAATCCACGCTTTTGAACGTTGTCATTTTTCAGATCTTCCGCGAGATGTTGCCCACGTTCTTGGCTCGGCTTACTGGAACATGTTCATGGTTGATTCCTCTTGGCATGCTTGTCAACCCAAGGGGGAGCCAGCAGCAGGCGTTTTTTCTTGCCGGAGCGAGCCGTGGGCTCCTCCTCTCGCCCCATGGAGAGCCATGGGTTTTGGGTCCCGGGTCCCGGGTGCTCCCAGGTAACGCTTCTGTCTCCGTGCACCTGGGCACGCATGCCGCTCGGACTGAGAGCCTTAGGCTTGCGCAAACCGCCGGAAGTCACTAGCCAGGGGTCTCGCGACTTTTCACATGTCCTCTTGGTCGAACGAGACATGTTCACGACTCGCATGAGATGAACTTCAAGAGTTGGACGCCCTGAGACAAAAAGGCGTGCGATCGGCGATCCAGGCGAGCGATTCGTTTCCCAATGCCAGGCATGCCCGCACGTCATCACTGAGAAGACTGGCAACAACCTGACGGCGCGGGTCGTGTTCAAGCCATAGCCATGGTCTGTGGAGCTATGTTGGGATCTTTGCGTCGTTTCTCGATGTTTTCGCTTTTTGTTGGCCTTGCAGGCTCCATAGGTGTTCGTTGATCGATTCGCACCAATCCTTGGTTTCACAAGGGATCCCATGTCAAATTGGGACGGATTGAGATTGGCCGAGCGCACCCATGCTGAAAGGCCCAAGACAGATAGAGCAACGAGGGGTGCATATGCACAGAATAAAAGCTTTGAAAGCAAGTCAGCACGAGCACCCCATGTGGAGGTCAGTCTTCAGATTTTGGCCAAAGATATTATTGTTTTGACAATTCGCTTCCGACAGAGCCGGGGGAGCAGGGGGGTAAAAAACACCTACAGGCCTTGTTACATAGTGATTGCGGTGGTTCTGTACCTCATTTGCCTTGGATAGTTTTTGTCCGACCTTATTCTATTGTTACACAGGGGTTTATGTGGAGACGGTTCAGTGAATATGTGGTTTCCAGTAATGGTTATACACCCCATTTTGCTTGGGATTTGGAGTCTGAGACGCCCGTCCGCCGCCGGCTTCGCATCGCCAGATCGCCTGCACAGTGCCGGCCTTCGTAGCCAGCACGGTGGCGGTGAAGGCGGTTGGGGGGCTGGGCGGGTCTTCAGCGAACCCGCTCGGAGCTTCCAGACGTCCAGGGGCCTCATATTCCAAAACCCGCTCTCGAGGTGTTGAGCATCACCGCAAGGCAAGAAGTCAGTATACCTCATGGAGATTCATAGGTGTGGATGGACCATATCCTGCACTACCTTGAAACATGGGAACCAATTTGTTTGTTGGTATTTGCAGAAGAATCATCATTCCAGAGAATCTTAGGTGGTGCAGGATTTTGTCCATCCACAGTAGGGAACCCTTTCGGCTCATAGAGTGTTTCTTGCTAGGCGCGAGGTTTTGGCAGGGTTGCGCGGGGAACCCGGCTTTCCACCAGCCCACGGTGCGTTTTTTGTGGGGGAAAGCAATGGTTGGGAAGCCCTCCAGAAAGCCTCAAGGAAAGGCTTCGGAAGGAAAGCCTCGCCTTTGGGAGCTGCTGTTGGGGTTGGGTTTGAAAGGGACACCTGAAAGGAGCCATGTTCAAAGCGGCATCGTTGTTTTTCCCATCCAAAGAACGGAGGAGGGGGGGCGGGGTAAAGCCGAGAAAACCAATCCTTGGCATACAACAATGTGATCCTGCCAAGAGATGACCCGTGGGTGTCCGATCCGAAACACCCCCAGGCAGTTCAGTTTCCTTGTGGCTACCCATGCACTTGCAAACCCTTCAACAGTCGGAGGGGGCCATTTGAGAGAGACCCGGATGCTGAAGCTAGACATTACATGCTGAAAGTGAGTCTTGCTGACCGACCCAAGCCACCAAGCCACGAATCAAGACGCCTGGGCTAATGTACGAAGCCCGAAAAATGGGGGGGGGGTTCTCTTGGAGGCCCCTTCAAAATGAAGAAAAGTACCCTCCCCAGTCAGGTTCCGTGTTAGAAGGAAGCAAAGCAAACAACCAAACATGCAAGCAAGCCAACAAACAAGCGCAACAAGCGCCACAAGCAACAAGCAACCAAAACGCCAAAAAGACAGGATACGCCCCTGTTCCTTTAAAAAGATCAACCACGGGAGCCGCAAAAAAAAGGACAGGACGCAAGGGGCGCGCCACGGCAAAAGCGCCGCGCGCGCGCCAAAAAAGATCGTCCCCACACGCGCCGTGTGTGTGGATAGCGAGGTGCGGGTGTTGCCGCTGGGCTATAGCCGCATGTTGGTGGCCACTTCGGAGTTCACGTGGGGGGGCTGAGTGCGAGCATCTGCGTGCGCCGCGGGCACGGGTGAGGAGGGGGTAGGGAGGGGCTGTTCTGCAGTTGCTGGTTCGCAGGGAAGGAGAAATGGAATGACCCCGAGAAAAACCATCTCCGAGTTGGTTTCCTTCGAGGGAATCAGGTTCATTCGGAAGGTCATTCGCTACCAATTGCATCAGCAAGTATAGCAGTGGTCTCAGCAAGGCTAGGCCCATTTAACTTGGTTCCCAGCAATCCGGTTCCTGAGTTTTTTCGGCTTTTCAGTTGGTTTAGTGGTAGTTTCCGAATTTCACCCACGAAAAGCTAGTCACGCTGAGCAGGGGGATCTGAGGACAGCCCCCCAGTCCATGAGGGGCAGCCAGGTATGCAACCAGTCGCCGGGAGTTGGTTTAAAGCATGACACAACGGGGAGGTAAACCTATGCGTCTTGTGCCTTTAAAAGAATGGGTTCCAGAGATAGAGAGAGAGAGAGGGAGAGACGGAGAGACGGAGAGACGGAGAGACAGAGAGAGAGAGAGGGAGAGACGGAGAGACGGAGAGACGGAGAGACAGAGAGCGAGAGAGAGAGAGAGAGAGCGAGAGAGAGAGAGAGAGAGAGAGAGAGAGAGCGAGAGAGTGGGAGAGAAGAAACAACAACAAAGGCCGTGGCCATGACGCACATTTGTTGTCTTGAGGCTCGGTACCCACTTGGTTTTGAATGGAAACCAAAAGGACGCCAAAATCCAGTTGGGGGGGTCCAAATCTCTTTGACACATACCCGCCTTGGTTCAAAGCTTTAGAGCTTCGATGCTATGGGTTTGTGGCTTTTCTGTTCCAGCTTTGGTTGTTCTGATGTCTTTTCGCTGATCTTCTTCTTACCTCTTAAAAACACAACTTTTCAACTTTTTGGGTAACATGGGCTACATGTCTGTAAAAGATGAACTTCCCCAGGGCTTGGAGTTTTAAGGGGTAAGTCTGTGTGTGTGTGTGTTCCCTGGTTTTTCGTTCATTTGTCGCAAGAAGCTGGGCTGTTGGGCCTTTGATCTGCCCAGCTTTCAGCGGGCCAAAAAACCAAGGGTCAGGGGAAACAAAGCGCCTGGGCGTGAGCTTTGCTTGAGTCGGTACCCTTTAACTCACTTCCTGAGTTCATGCACTTTAAACTCTTTGGGAAGACCGTTTTGGTGGTAAATATAAAGGTTGGACTTTTTTTGGGCCATCCACTCAGCCAGTGAGTTAAAGGGACACCAACAGGAACACCACATCTTGGGGGGAGCCTTAAAAGAGACACACCCATGAGCTGTCACTGACAAAGCCAAATGTCGAGAAGGCCGTCCCTTGCCTCGCCTTCGCCAACGTCACGCTGCGTTTGGCGTGTTTTGTCAGGCACGTCGGAGACACACATGCATCGCGCACCAATGAGCAAGCAACCAGATCCACGATCAAAACACGGCTCAGTCGCAAGCAACTCGTTCGAATAGTTTGCTGCCTTTGCTTACAGGCGGCCAGTCAACAGAAGTTCCTCCACTTCTTTTTTGGGCGCCTCCAAAAGTGGCGGCGGTTCCAATGGGGTTTCCCACGTGCAGCTTTCGCAGGGGGAATCCTTCTTGGACCGGGACCTCAGTGTCTGCAACTTGTGAAGGCCAGGTCTCCCAGCCAGGTGGTTGGGAGGGTTCCCTACTAAAATAGGCTGCAGCAAAGAAAAGAAAACGGGTACCGACTTATTCTAACCTCAAACTACTGGAGGACCTGGAGAATCCGGTTCCCCAGCTTTTTAGCCTTTTGGTTGGTTTAGTAGTTGGTTTTCCATTTAGCTGCAGCTTGTGAAGGGGAAAACTCCCCGGCGACCATCCTCCTACTACTAAAATAGACTACTTTTATTCCAACCCCTCTGCTGGAGGACCTAGAAGGGGAAAGCTTCTCCGGTGACCTCATCCTCCGTCCCACTCGCGCGTCGCCGCCATGGCGGTGGACGATCTGCTGCTGCCGCGCACGGAGTCCTCGGCGCTGACGGCGCTGGACCGAGGCCTGTGGACCGCGGCGCTCTACGCCGCCATCATGGCGGTAGGCGGGGCCCCTAGGTCTCCCAGTGCCCTTTTACCCTTTTTTTGGGGGAACCCTTGGTTGGTTGGGTTGAAAGGGCAGCCAAAATACTAGGTCCCCCAGTAGTGCCCTTCTCACCCTTTTTTGGGGGGAGGGTTCCCCTACTAAAATAGACAAAACAGAAAAACAAAATCAGGTACCAGCTGATTCTAACCCTCAAACCACTGGAGGATTTAGGCCTGGATCGGATCGGGCCTCAAATGGGGCCCTGGATCGGTGCCCTCCGAAACGCGAGGGTTTGTTGTTTCTCCTTTTTTTCGGTGGACGGAGAAGCTGAACATGGGTTACAGGTGGGCGAGATTAGAGAAGCTGAACAGTAGCTTCAGAAGTCTGCGTATGTCAGGTGTGGGCCAAGCAAGGTTGGTGTTCATGTAGTATAAGGGACCATATCAACATTGACACACCTTATTTTGTGAGAAGCATGACTATAAGAAAGGCTTCAAAATACGCCGACACCCCTCTCTAATTATGTCGCCCCATATAAGGCCAAATTGAAGGTGAGTTTCCTTGGCGGTGAAAGGGGAAAAAGGGCTCAGGGCCTGCAAGACTTGCGTCAACAAGGGTTCAAGTCTGCGGTAAAGGGGATTCGGGGATGAGATCGGATCGGGCAGAGGAGCCTCAAATGTTGAAAAGGAGAAGCCTAGATAGCCAAGTTGCGATCGCTTTTTCAGTCACTGTTGCTGGTTTTTGGATGGCAAAGTGGATCGAAAAAGCGATCGCAACTGGCGATCGAGGAGGGTTCGTGCCAGAAAATCCATGTTGGGAGTTCGGGACACGATGAGTGTTGAAACGCAAATGTAGGGGCACCTTCTTTAGGATGGTTTGAGGGAAGTCACAAGGAACGCAACCGCAGGCCTTTTGTGCCATTATCTGCTTTGAAAATGCTCGATGCAAGTCGGAGAGAAAACCTTTGGTGCGAGGAAGGAATGGAGTCTCGGTCTTTGTTTCGCTTAGAATCCTCCCCACCACCCCCCCCAGAAAAAATCAGTGACCAAAACCCCCCGTTGAACCCGCAGCTGTGCCGAAAGCGAGGCATTTGCTACGCGATGCTGGGGCCCACGTTGCTAGGCGGGGACCCGCTCGTCCTGCTGGTCTAGATGGCTACCGGTGGTCAGGACAGGGACCCCAAAGAGGAGCCCAATTTCACGTTCCCCGCCTGGTATCCGGGACACCACAAGGGTCCAAGTCATTTGTTTGCGGCTGGACGGCCGTGGGTCAACGCAAGCTGGAGCCATTGGCCAGTTTTCAAAGGTTACCGGGCTTGGTTTGCAGGGTTTCCTTTGTTCCTCGCAACCTGTCAGTGTTGCCGCTGCCACAAACCAGCTCCACACCCCAAAAAACACACACACACACACAAATAAAAGAAGAAGAAAAAAAACACGACACTGCGGTTTGCTCTGGCTGAAGCCCTCTTTCAACCGCCTCCATGGCCAGTTTGGGCCGTTCGATCGGCATCGATCCGTCGCAAAATCGATCGCATCGATCGCCGATCGATCCGAGACCTCACCGAGCGCCTGCAGTGCTCCAACGCTTTGGCCTCCCTCCTCTTCTCCGCGCGGGCAGGCCAGGCGTCTCCCCGTAGCGCCGTCGGCCGGGGCACGTCGGTTCGGCGGCCGGCCTGGGGTTTTGGCGGTTTGGTCGGTGAGGCTAAGCATTTTGGTGGGCTTTGACTGTGCAATGTGTATGTGCCTGTGTATAACATGTCATATATATATATATATATAAATATCTATGTACATATGCATGTTAATGTAGAATAATATAGCTATTCAGTGGGGTTGACAATAGTAGGGCTCGTTTTTGCTATCCCCTTTACAAGGAGGCTCCAGGGGGCACCAGGTCCAAAACAAGGCCATATGTTTGACAACTAAATATATATATATATATGCATATCTATATATATATGCATATCTATATATATATATATATGTATATAGAGGGCCCAATAATGCGAGAGGGCCCGCCTCAATCGCACCCCTCAAGGTCCACATCTTTCCGGGTTCCTGTGCGACCGCAAAGAACATCTCTGGTAGCGTATAGATGGGGGTCTGAGGATTTTTCCGTAACGGGAGCGCAGAGTTACTCCCCCGATTAAATGGACCCTTTCAGAAACAAGCTCCTCGAAAGGGAGAATTAGTTCTTCTGCAAGGAATGGTTAAGCTCCATGTCAATTTGCAGTATTTGGACACACCCGAAGATTGGGGGATCCCTTGTAGTGCATTTTGAATGGAAGTCAGACCCCTTCGCCTATGGTTTCCTTGAAGGGAATCCCCTTCCGGTTCATTCCCAACACTCGGAAGGTCATTCCCTACCTATCGCGCCTGCAAGACAAGTGGTTGGTGGACTAGTTTCTCCCCGAAGTCTGATGTCCACCATTTCAAGTTGTTGTTGTTGTTGCTGTTGTGTTTTTTTTTTTACGCGAAGTCACACCCAGGTGTTTGGGCTGAGTCTTTTCCGCCGACCAGGCGGGTACCTGATGGGATCCACCATTGGAGGCCCCATGGTGGACAGGCGCGCTCAGGGTCTGCGAGGAGGGGGGGGGGGGGGAGCCATTCTGCGAATTCTTGGGGTTGCGAGAAGAGGCTAATGACTAATGTTTCTCCTCAAGGGCCATGGCCATTTGTCGCCATCTCTTTGCGCTGCATCCACCGACCCGTGTTGTTCCGCCTGAAAGGTAGGGCGTCCAACAAAGGGGTCCTCAATGCCACCACATTGGGGGAGGGGGGGGACGATGTCTTCTTTTTGGACACTTGCGTGCCACCTTTTCAATGGGATACCAAAAGCACCCTCAATGTTGGCAACCCCCACGCACGTCAATGGTACCATCTTACGTCTTTGCCCGGAAAGATGCACAAGCCCTTGGTTCTAGGGGTGAACAGTGACATTTGGACAATAAAACAATCTCAGTTCAACTTTTTTAGTGGATCCCTTGATTCATGTTGAATGTCCATCTAACATGGAACTCACCGGAGAGTCCCTTAGAGGAGGGATGACAAAGCCGTGGGGGACATTTTGCCAACTTTCACCCTAGTGCACTAAGTATCCTGCCGTGCGACTCATTTCTCTGGGGTAAAATTATTTCGACTCATTTCTCTGGGGTTAGCAAAGTCAGAAAATGGTTGGTGGTGTCGCTTTAACCTACCACTTAGGGGTGACTTTGATCATGGTGAAACAACAGGACCGGTTTCTTCCTGCGCGCGAAGTCCATGCGTTTGAACGCACCTGAGGACCCCGAACCCTGCACTCCTGCTGGCGCTGGGAACCTTTGGCAGCGCCCTGGGCGCTGTGATGGCGGCTTAGTCTCAAGCAGAACACCAATCACATCCGAAACGGCCGAGCACTGACTTAAGTATCCTGATAAGTGCAAGTCAGTGTGAGTGTGTGCTTGGTTGTTTGGTTGTTTGTGTGTTTGTTTGTTTGGTTGTTTGTTTTGTTGGTTGGTTGGTTGGTTGGTCGGTCGGTCGGTTGGTTGGTTGGTTGGTTGGTTTGCTTGCTTGCTTGCTTGCTTGCTTGGTTGGTTGGTTGGTTGGTTTGCTTTGCTTCGCTTCGCTTCGCTTTGCTTTGCTTTGCTTCGCTTTGGTTTGGTTTGGTTGGTTGGTTGGGTTGGGTTTGGTTTGGTTAGTTTGGTTTGGTGTGGTTTGGTTTGGTTGGTTAGTTTGGTTTGGTGTGGTTTGGTTTGGGTTGCTTTGCTTTGGTTTGGTTTGCCTTGGTTGGTTTGCATTGGTTTTGTTTGGTTTGCATTGGTTTTGTTTGGTTGGTTGGTGGTTGTTGTTTTTGTCTGCGCGATTCGTTTGAGGGTGTCCTGCTGGGGGTTCCAAGCAACAAATCGATTCCGATCGCTTGGCGGTTCCCCCCCGGCCCCCGCATCCGAAAGGAGCCCACTTCTGGATCGAACCCAAACGGCATATGGAAAACAAGTGGAATTCCCTCCCTCCAACCACTGGCACACCCGGACACGAACCAAAAAAAAAAACGGTCCCTTCTCCAGACTTGTCCGGCATGAATTCTGCACGACGCGACCAAGTCATACTGAGATTGCGCCCTTACCATACGGGGGTCGCGGCTGCTTCCAATGGTCTCCCACCTTGGGACTGTGGTTGACCTCCATTTGACTTCGTTGCTTCCCATGGTCCCACATCCAATCCTGTGCCCCTGTGGTTGTCCTCCATTTGACCGCTTCGTTTATGGGACCCAACGGGTTGGTAGAAAAGACGGGGTGGTTTTCCGTCTGCTGGCGCCTCGAGAGGTGCCCTTTCTGCAGAACCTAGCGGTGGCCTACACGTCGCAGGCCTTGCAGGGCCTGAGCATGGGCTTGCTCCCCGGCAAGCAGCGGTGCGCACAAGCGGCGTGCAAGCACTGCCCGGCTGAGCTTGCCTTGATCCGTCGGTTCTGTGGTTTTTCCATCCAGTGTCCTTGCTTCCAAGCAGAAAGAGTTGCTTGGGAAGTCGCTTTTTGCCAAGGATCCGTCGGATCTGGCTTAGGATTAGGATTAGGACGGTTTGCCCAAGTGGGACTGTATTTTGAGGGACCCTTTCTTAAAGTTTCTTTGGGTCCCGGTGATGTCCATCTAACCCAATTGAGATGGGAGCGTGAGGACACCGCACAGGGGCTCAAAGAGCAAACCCGGGGCGCTCTACGGACATATCATGAACCCAATCTCTGATTTCCAAGTTAGGTTCATGGCCAAACCAGGGCTTAAAACTTGTTTTCACCTTCAAGGCCAGTTTGCAATGAGTCTCCTTTGATATCTTGGGGGGGGGGGGGCATTCACCCTGAACATCAGAACCCCTAACGCTCTCAGAATTATAAGAGCCCGTCCTTAGGTGGGCCGTAATTGTTTCACCAAGTTATCCTTGCGTGGTTTTGGTTTCAAAGTGGCGTGTCACTTTCTGAAGATGCAATATCTCAGAGACTGCTTGAGGAAAATGCTCCGTGGGATTAAAGGCAACACATTGGGGGTAAGAGAAGCCAACAAGCTTTGAAGTCCCAACACATCCAGTAAGATACTAGTCGCCGTTTTTGGGCATGTGTACTTTGACACTCAGCCGACCTTGTTTGTTTCCCCCAAAGGAAACCAACAAACAAGTCAAAAAAAAGAAGGAAACAGCGAACAGGTACACCAACGTGCAACCCAATGAGGTGCCATGCTATTAGAATTTCGCCAGAGTCCCTTTATCCTGCCGAAGCTTTGCGAGGCTGGATACCGGCGGCAATGTCCTGATGCTCACAGTTTGGCGGAACCACAAGCACCTCAACGCGGCGGTGCACGGCAACTCAGCTGCTTTGGAAAGTGTCCGATCGTTGTTTGTGTTTGTTAAACAAGCGCCTTGCTTTTGTTTGGTTGTTTGGTTGTTTGGTTGTTTGGTTGTTGTTTGTGAACAAACAAACACCTTGCTTTTGTTTGGTTGTTTGGAAAGACCGCAGCTGTTGGTTTGAGTTTGCGATTGTTGGTTCATGGGCCAGGTTCTTCGGGGTTCTGACAGGGGCCCGTTCGGAGCGTTTTTCCAACCGATTCCAACCCAACCCATCGGTAGATCCATCTTGGGCAACCAACCCAGACCGGTGGGCCGAACATCCCTCAGTTTCCCGGCTTGGGATGAAGCATGTCCAGCGGCCAACATGTCATCCGTGTAGAGTTTAAGACACGGGACTGGAAACACATGAGTGCGTCCCATGTTTTGCCAGAGGACTCGAGCAAATGGAAGTATGCAGTACCAACTAGAAACCCCCGATCACTGGTGAAGTGAAGTCCTTAGGCTATTTCAGGGGCCAGTGACCCTGTTTTTCTTGGACTCGCAGGCCCCCAACTATAAAGGAGGATGGAGCTCAAACCAGGTTTGGGCTGTCAAGTCACAGGGGCCGCGGTGCCCTATTTGGGGTGGTTTCCCTTTGTTTCCCCTACCACAAAAAGGGTACCCTTCAAACAAGACACTCCCAGCTCTCTCAAAAGGGAACCCACAAATTGTTGTTTTCCTTTTTAAACGCACCCAGAACCCCGAACTGGTTGTTCTCCTTTACCCCCCCCCCCCCCCGAAAAAAGAAAAGGTCCACCGTGTTGGTTTCGATCCCAGGCTTCCACTTCCTCTTCGGCGTGGGCGCCCTCATCGCGCCTTTGTGCGTCTCCTGGGCGCTCAAGCTGGACCTTGACGCTGTGCAGGCGAGGCCGAAACGCTCCCCCCCCCAGATTCGACTGGCTGGGGGACCGGGCTGGGCGGGGTTTTTGAGGCTGGACTGAGGCTGGGTTTGAGGCTGGACTGAGGCTGGGTTTGGCTGGAGACTGGTTGGTGGGTTTGTTGGGGGGTGATGCAAGGAGTGGAGCCCGGCTTTTTGAGGTTGCTCGAAATTCCGTTTGCAGGTGTGGCTCTTAGAGGACCTCAAGTTGGGGTCCCCTGAAGGTGGCATGTTGAAGTCTTCCAAGCGGCACCGACTGAACCAAGCCTATCCCACCCCAAACCTACCCAACTTGAACCCATCTTGAGCCCATCCTAGACAGTCCCCAAACCCTATCCCATCGCCAAACAGACCCCAAGCCACTCCGAACAGGGTGTATCTGTTCTTCAAGGGTTCCCCTCCTTTCACCTTGGTTTGCGGGACTGCAAACAGGAAACCTATCCGTTTTGGGGGTCCCGTAATCTTGATGGTGCTCAGTAGGGAATGAAAGGGGGGTTAGAACCAGGATCCCCTTTGAGTTTAAGGTGTTCGCTCATTCATTCTCTGAGAGCCAGCATTCCAGCCATTCCAAAAAGGGTATCCTCAAAAAAGAGACAACTATTTGGGAGTGTCCTCTTTTTTTTGGACAACCCCTATGGCGCGTCCCTTTTGGGAACCCGAAATAGGGTACCCTCCAAAGCATATTTTGCCACCCCCCCCCACCCCCACCCACCCCCACCCACCCCCACCCACCCACACCCACCCACACCCACCCACACCCACCCACACCCACCCACCCCCAACCACCCACCCAACCACCCACCCACCCAACCACCCACCACCCACACCCCCCCACACCCCCCCCACACCCCCCACACCCCCACAACCACACCCACACCCACACCTACACACACACACACACCCACCCACCCACACACCCACCCACCCACCCACCCACCCACCCACCCACCCACGCACGCGCGCGCGCGGCGACGCACGCACACACCGCACACCACACACACACACACACACACACACACACACACACACACACACACACACACACACACACCCACCCACCCACCCACCCACCCACCCACGCACGCACGCACGCAGGCAGGCACGCAGGCAAGCAGGCAGGCACGCAGGCACGCAGGCACGCAGGCACGCAGGCACGCACCCACGCACGCACGCACGCCCGCACACACGCACACACGCCCACACGCCCCAAGCCCACGCCCACATCCACATCCACACGCACACGCGCACGCGCTCGCACACGCACACACTCAGACTCACACACGCACACACACACACAAACAACACAACACAACACAACACAACACAACACAACACAACACACCACACCACACCACACCACACCACACCACACCGCACCGCACCGCACCGCACCGCACGCGCACGCGCACGCGCACGCGCACGCGCATACGCAGACACACAGACACACAGACACACAGATTCACAGACCCACACACCCACACAAGTAGCCATGGTAAGGTCCACACAATTGACCCGGAATATTAAGTTTGAGGGCTTGCTGCCCGCGAATGGACTGCACCACAAATAACCAGGGCCAAATCCAGAAATTGGCTGGTTTCCTGCTTCACCACACACGTAAGATCTGGTAAGTTTGAGGGTTTCCTGCACCACAAATATCCATGACAAGATCTGGTAAATTTGAGGGTGTCCTGCTTCACCACACAGAAAACCATGGTAGTGAGGGTTTCCTGCTTCACCCTGGAAAAATCTGGTAAATTTCAGGGTTTCCTGCTTTCACCACACGAATCAAGAGGGTTTCCTGCTTCACCACACAAATAACCATGGTAAAACCTGGTAAGTTTGAGGGCCTCCTGCGCCACAAATAACCATGGACAACTCTGGTAAATTTCAAGGAGGTTTTCCTGCTTCACCACACATATAACCATGACAAGATCTGGTAAATTTAAGGGTGCCCTGCTTCAAATGACCCTGAAATTAATTTTTGTGGTTTACTGCACCACAAACAACCATGGCAAAATCTGGTAAATTTGATGGTTTCCTGCTTCCGCACACAAATGACCATTGTAAGCTCTGGTAAGTTTGAGGGTTTCCTGCACCACAAATATCCATGACAAGACCTGGTAAGTTTGAGGGTGTCCTGCTTCACCACACAGAAAACCATGGTAGTAAATTTGCTTCACCCACGAATCAAGGGGTTTCCTGCTTCACCACACAAATAACCATTGTAAAACCTGGTAAGGTTGAGGGCCTCCTCCGCCACAAATAACCATGGAAAAAATCTGGTAAATTTGAAGGAGGTTTCCTATCCTGCTTCACCACACAAATAACCATGGAATAATCAGGTTTCTTTTGCGGGTGTCCTGCTTCACCACGCAAAGAACCATGGGAAAATCTCGTAAATTTGAGGGTGTCCTGCTTCACCACACAAATATCCATGGTAAGATCTGGTAAATATGAGGGTGTTCGGGCATCCCGATTGGAGCCCCTGTATGTTCGTGCATCTCGAAATTGGGGAGGGGGGCCCAAACTAGGTTTCCTTGCAGCCTCTTTCAAAGACCAACCCCACATGCTTTGAGATTTAAAAACTCATTCTGGCTAGGGGCACTCTTCCTCCCACAAACATAGCATTTAATCTTCAAGGGTCGCCAGTGCCTCCTGCGAGCACGATGTCCAAGGCGGGGGTCGTTGCCAACATTGATGTGCCTTGGGGAGCTTGTGTTTTGAGATTCAACATCTCATTCTGGCTAGGGGCACTCTTCCCCCGAACGTAGCATTTGTTCTTCAAGGGTCGCCAGTGCCCCCTGCGAGCACACGATGTCCAAGGCGGGGGTCGTTGCCAATTGATGTGCCTTGGGGGAGCTTGTTGCATCTCGAAATTGAGGAGGCCCAAACTAGCACGGAAAAAAACAAAACCGGCTGGACCGGCTGTTTTGAGATTCAACAACTCATTCTGGCTAGGGGCACTCTTCCCCCGAACACAGCATTTGTTGCTTAAGGGTCGCCAGTGCCTCCTGCGAGCACGATGTCCAAGGCGGGGGTTGCTGCCAACATTGATGCGCCTTGGGGGAGCTCGTCGCATCTCGAAATTGGGGAGGCCTAAACTAGCATTTCCTTTCAGCCTCTTTTCAAAGAAAAAACCAAAACCGGCTGGGCCGGCTGTTTGGAGACGCACGACCTGTTTTGCCCCTACGTTGAATCACTGCGCGGATCGAAGCCATCACCAAGAGGTGATCTGCGTTTCCCAGTGCCTCGCTTTGCGCCGCCAGGCCTGGAAGCCACAGCTGTAGAGGACATCAAAGTGGAGGACGAGAGGCGGGAGCTGCGAGGCAGATTGGTTCTTTGTGGCCATCGAGCAGCGCCTCAATGCTGTCAAGGCCAGCGGCTGCTTCACGGTTGGGAAAGGCAAGCGCGGGGCAACGCGGGGTTGTTTGTTGTAACAATCGCAACGACCGTCACCTATCGTGGTAAGGAGCGTGGATTGAATATGTGGGTTTGAGGGAGCATGAAAACCCAGGGCCAGGCTGCTTTCCCTTGGTTTGCCCAACCGGTGCCATCAAAAGAAGAAACACCCACGTGGTCACGTGAAGATCTTTAAGCAACATCCCAGCAAATGGAAGCCGCCTGCACGATTATGAGCTGGAATAGCAGGCAAGCATTGAAACACCGGAAGCGCCGGAAAAAAAGGAAA